AGTGCTTACACTTTATAAAAATTTATTAAAGCACATCAAGAAGACTTGGAGGAGATTCAACGCGTTTTGGTGGAATCGACTTTAAGTAAGGTTGGGGCATCATCATCATGCACACGACCGTTAGGCGATAGCCCTAGCGAAGTATGCGATTCGGATTCCAAAAGTGAATTATCCATTAACGAACTCGCTTGTGCATATGATAGATTAGCGCATGCCTACAAGAAATTGCAAAATGATTTTATTGATCTTAAAAGCAAGCATGTAGAATTAAAATCCGATCATGAGTTGCTAGGTTCCAAATTTGATATCATTGCTAAAGAGAATGTTACACTTCAAGAAAATAATGATATATTGAATTTGGAAAATAAAAATTTGAGCTCATCTATTGCTATTTTAACTCATGCAAATAAAGATGCCATGCTAGAAGTAGAATGCATTAGAAATGAATTTGATAACCATACATGCTCTACTTCTATTATCAATGATGTCGTGCCTAATGTTGAGTTGAATCTTGTCAAAAATAGCATATCATCTTTAGATTCAACATTAACTTCATGCATTGATAATCATAAGAAGCTTATGAATATGTGTGCCAAATTTGAGTCTAAATCATCCACTCATTATGCACACATATATAGCAAAGTTTATAAATGCACTATTTGTGGTCGTAAAGGCCATTTGTCTAAATTTTGCTATGATGCACATAAACCTATAAAATCAAATGTTCCTAGTGCATCTCATCAAGCTTCTTCATCACACACTCATGCACATGCACATAATATTCATCATAAGCATACTAGTGTGTATCAATGTAATTATTATGGTCGGTTTGGCCATTTGGTAAAGTTTTGCTTTGATTTGAAAAAGAATTTAAGTTTGCCGAATATTTCTAGTAAACTACATGTTTTAAAATGTGATGTTTGCGGTAGGTTTGGACACTTGGCAAAATTTTGCTTTGATTCACAAAATATTTCAAAATCACAAGTTGTTCCAAAAGAACTACCTTTGTTTGATGATGTTTCTCATTTGCAAAATAAATTTAAAAGACAATATTTATTTGCAAATGATTCCCATGCACGTCCACTTAGTCAATACAACTCATTTCAACCTTTTCATTGCACATATTGCAAGCGGAAAGGTCATGTGTATAATTTTTGTTTTGGCCGTGCTAGTGCACCATATGCGCCCAAGAGGGTTCATAACCGTAGGGCTTTGAGCTTGAATGATAGGGGTCATGTCCCTAAACCTTTTGGTACCAAGAATACTTGGGTACCAAAACAAATTTGATTTTAAACCAAGAATTTTAGTGTTTATATTTTTCTTTTTCTTGGTTTTGAAAAATATATTTTAAACTTTTATAAAAACAATTCCTTTTATTGGTCAAATTCTTTTGTTTTCATGATTATTGGTTTTGTTTTGATGAGAGGTTTGTATTTATATAACTCTCCGGGTTTATTGGGTGTTTATTCCCAAATCATGTTTACCGGATGCTTAAATGTTTATATGTGTTGTTACTAGCTCAAGAGCTAGATATAGTTGTCTCTCTTGATTTTTGAAAATCAATGATGGTTTGGTTTTATACTCTTAAAAATAATTTTTTTAAATCCATAGTTCATAATTCTTGTATGTTACTTTTGAACTATGAAAATTTTGCTTTGATTTGTTCTTTTGAATTCATTATATAAGCACAAATAGATGATTCAAATTTCAAATATGCTTTATGTTGTATTCTTTATGTGGTTTGATCAAGTTATATAAAGAAAATTTTCTTCTTTGATCAAACATTGTTTTTGGACTCAAATCTTGATTTATGACTTCATTTGAGTGATTTGTTTTCCCTTGAAAACTTTTTTCATGGTTCTCATGTTTTCCTCATTCCTTTGTTTTTATAAATCTATTTTTATACACTATGTTTTTAAAATTGTATAATGAGACACTTCTTTCATATTTATATATGTTCTCATTATCTTTTTTATATGTGAGTTATGTTTAGCATGTTTTTAATCTATGCTTTCTCACATATGTATGCCTTAGCATTCATTTCATACCTCCATATGGCATTTTAATAGGGGGAGCAATCCCTATTTTTTTGTACTCACCCATGCATATTGATAGGGGAGCTTTCGCTCTCTTCATTCTTTATGGTTTTCCCTTTTTGATGTTGTCAAAGGGGGAAAAATATTGTGAGTATAGCTTTCCTTGTTTTATATGCATGATATAATTATAATATTGTACATTCATTTTCCTTCATGCATATATCTTTTTTGTAAATTTTTTGTCATCATCAAAAAGGGGAAGATTGTTGGCCTATTTGTTTTGATGATGTTTAACAAACAATTTACCACTAATGTTGTTTGTCTAGTGTTTGTATATTTCTATTTATTGTAGACAAACAACGTGTTCGAGGTTGGATGGATTGCGCTTCAACGATCAAATCCAATGGAGGTTGGCGGAATTATGGAGTGAAGCCTACGCAATTCAAAGTTAAAGATTCAAATTCAAGCTTCATCCGCAAGTGTACCAAGATAGAGCTTCGTTGAAGATCACAAGCATGGGTATATTTAGTTTAGGTTTATATTATGTGTATTAGTACTTTAAGCTCAATCATATACACACATACACGTTTTGGTTTTGTATATATATAGTTATATATATACATATATATTTTGGTTTGATAGGTTTCAAGTTTTACTATGAAACAATTGAATACAATTGGAAAACATATTTTTATTTCATACTTATATGCATTTATATGATTTCATCAATATCAATTTTATTTTGTTCCATGAAATCATGTTTTAGTGTATTATATGTGTATTTTGATAAAATACTATATTCATTGTTTATAGACTTCATAACAATAGTTTACATCTTTTATTAAGTCTATAAAATCATTTTGTATTGTTCAAAACATAGTTAAGCTAAAATGTCAAAACTCATATGTTTACATTTTCATATTTTGGACTATTTTGCAAAATGATGATATTTTTCATTTGGGATGTCCTTTTTAAAAACTAGTTTTTGTAGCATATATATTATCATGTCTATAATTATTTTTCAAAGTTTTACATTTTTTAGAATTTATTTAATATTTTAAACAGGGTTTCAAAATCATCAAACTGCTTCTAAACCTGTTTTTTCATATATCAGTTTGCGGTCGACCACCACGGTCGACCGCCCCTGAGTTTACAAACTCAGTATGTTTCTTGATAGCTCGCGGTCGACCGTGGTGGTTGACCGGATGCAGTCCAGAGAGTTTCGCAGTCGACCGCCACGGTCGACCGTCTGTTGTCCAGAGCCAAACCTTGGCCTTTTTGTTGCTCGCGGTCGACCGCGAGTTTTCCACGGTCGATCGCCAATCGCCCAACGGCTATTTTTGTACAGAATATGATTTCCGATTCTGTGAGCTTTTTGGTCTTTTGTTTGGAGTTTTTGGCTAAGGTTTTGGGAGGCTATAAATACCCCATTGATCTCAGTTCTCTTGGCAATCCAAGAAGTTTTTAAACTAGAGTTTAACAATGGTTTAAGTGTTGTTTAAGTTTGTTTAAGAAGCTTTTAAGCATTTAGAAGTTTGAGTTTGTAAAATTAATTTCACAAGAGCTTGAGGAGATCATCTATTGGTGTTTGGGCATCCAACTATTCTCCCTCTACCTCTTGATCTATTGAGAAGTTTTCTAAACTCTATTTCTAGCTTTACATCTATTTATTTGATTATCATTTATTAAAGCTAGTTTTATATTGAGTTTAGTTGATTTGATTTCACTCATTGTTTACACACACCCACTTGAGCTTATTGTATTTGCATACATTGTCTATTTTGGGTTGGTGAGAGTTGTAACAATTGAGTGTGAGCTTTCATTGTGTTCTCATCCATATTAGAGAATAATCATTTATTGTAATTGTGCTTATTGTGAGGATCACTTTGTAATTCACTTATACACCGAGAGAAGTGTGTGGCGAGAGTCGGTGATCGTTCCAAGAGGAATGACGTCGATTGACGAATCTAGGGAGAGGTTGTATCCGAGCACTTGAGGGAGACATGTCTAGTTCAACACTTGAGAGGGTGTAGAGTGGGATTGCAAGAGTGTGTAAGTTGTATAGTTTTCGGTAAACTAGAAAACCGTATTGTGAGGTGTAAACGTTGTTCGGGTAAACGTAGAAAACCCGGTTGTGATAATGGAGATCTCCTCGAGGTGAGGAGCGGAGACGTAGGTCGTGGGGACCGAACTCCGTAATCATATTGTTTGTTTGTGATTGCATTGGCGCACTTATTTTTATGTTCATATCTTATATCGCCTTTGTATATTGCTTGTTGATTATATTGCCCACTATCTAGTTTAGATTGTTTACCCTTGTGTTAATTATATATCCTTGCATATATCTCATAGTATATCTCATTGTTAGGATATTTACCTTTGTTCATATTACTTATTCTTGCTTGTAACATATTGTATATCTCTCTTGCAAGAATAATTTATTAATTAGTTTTAATTGGTATAAAATCGGATTAGATTAGCATAAGACCCTAATCACCCCCCTCTAGGATCTGACAAGTCGAGCATTCAGGTGAGCTTGACTCATGCGGGTGAGTCAAGCTTCTGGACGAGCTCTACTTGACCTTTTTGATGTAGGCGAGCAAGCAGAACAAGCTTGTTCTTGCAAATCTGATCACGCAGACGAGATCCTGTGGGCGTGCCTTTTGATTTTTGGATAAAGGTAATTTTTATTGCCAACACACGGTTACCAAAACGAGGCGCTGTAGCGATGTGAGCAGGAGGGGTAGAATAGGGGTTTAGAGATTTTTCTCTCTTGCTGCAAAGTTGGCGGGGCATAAACGTAATTTTACATTGTATTTTGGGTTATACACATGAGCAAAAGTACAGGGGGCTAATACACATAACTTTTTAAGTTTTGGGGCCTTGAAGTAATTTTTCCATTTATCAATTAGTTAGCATAGTTCTCAGCATAGCGGACTCTCATTAATTCGGGTCGGATCTTTCATCAGCCAATCCATTTCCATCCCAAAACCCTATTCCTCACTCTCTCTCCTTAAACCCTAGAAAGCGAGAAGTTCCCTCTTTTCTCCTTCCTCCGCCTCTCAAAACTCCACCAGCCATGGTGAAATCCTACCTCCGTTACGAGCACGCCCTCTCCTTCGGCGTCATCGCCTCCAACGACTCCAACATCGTCCATGACTCCACAGGCAAGCACCTCCTCACCTCAGCCCTCGACAAAATCCTATCTTGGGACCTCAAGAAGGGCGTCGTCTCCAAAACCCTAACCCCTTCATCCAACCCCTCTCACAATCTCGCCGTCACTGCGATCTCCTCGATCTTGTCGGCGCTGGCGAGCGGGCACGCTGATGGCAGCGTGAGGTTGTGGGATTTTGAGAAGGGGATTTGTGAGGCGACGCTAAATGGGCATAAGTCGGCGGTTAGCGTGGTTAAGTTTAATCGAAATGGGTCGCTTTTGGCGTCGGGGAGTAAGGATTGTGATATTATTCTTTGGGATGTTGTTGCTGAAGTTGGCCTTTTTCGGCTTCGTGGGCATCGAGATCAGGTATCACTTAGTTTGAATCATGGCCATGAATCATGGTCATTTTGTAAAATTTTGATTTTGGTTGCATTTGGAACATGCCCAAGGTTTTGTAGTTGTGGAATTTGAGATTTATGTTGGGTTTAAATAGATATTGGCAGAAATTTAGGTTGTAAATTGTCAAGAGACGAGTACTAGTTAGTATCTTTGTATGGCATCTGAGTCACTACTCTGAGTCACTACTGACAGTTAGGTATGTGAAAACAATAGGGAGACAAAACCTTGGTTACTTTGATACTTTTTATTTAAAATTTTACTAATAAAAGATCACTTTTATAAGTTTGAAATCATTAAGCTGATAATATTCAAGAGATACCAATGTGGGATTTTGGTTGAAATTTCATGTAAACGTTTAAATGACAGCTGAATTTCTGATGGTAAAAGGAAATCCAGAAAATTTTGAGGTTATTATGCTGTGTTTTTAAACATTTGTGGTTTAATTTTGAATGCTGGGGTTGTAATGTCCGAAACTCCTCAAGTTGGGTTTGTGTGTTTGGGTGTCTCAGCACAAATTTTGTACATAATGTCAGGTATTTGAAACCATCTCTGAGCTTGAATTATGACCAATTTCTCATTGTAGGTAACGGACCTTGCTTTCTTTGACTTGGGGAAAAAGCTGGTGAGTTGCTCGAAGGACAAGTTTGTAAGGGTATGGGATCTTGATACGCAGCACTGCATGCAGATTGTTAGTGGACACCAGAGTGAGATCTGGTCATTGAATATTGACCATGAAGAGAGGTTCCTGGTCACTGGTTCAGCTGATGAGGAGCTGAGGTTCTACCAGATAAAACATTCACAGGAGGAAATTGACTCTTCAAGCAAATGGGAGGTTTTGAAGCAGTTTGGAGAGATTCAGCGTCAAAGCAAGGACCGGGTTGCAAATGTGAGTTTTAACAAATCCGGTAGCCTACTTGCATGTCAAGCAGCGGGGAAGACTGTTGAGATTTACCGAGTTCTGAATGATGCTGAAGCTAAGCGCAAGGCTAAAAGAAGAGTCCAGAGGAAGAAAGAGAAGGCTTCAGCTAAAGTAGCTGCTGCGGGAGAAGAGAATGGAACTGTGATGGATGCTGTAGATAGTCAACAAGCAAGAATTATAGTCTCAGATGTTTTTAAGCTTCTACAGATTTTACGTGCGAGTAAGAAGATATGTTCAATCTCGTTTTCTCCTGTTGTTTTGGCGAAAGGGCACCTTGCCACGTTATCCCTGTCTTTGAACAATAACATGTTAGAGACCTATTCAGTCGAAGATAACAAGATTTCTAAAACACATTCAATCGAGCTCCAAGGACATCGCTCTGATATTAGAAGTGTGGCACTGAGTTCTGACAACACCCTTTTGTTATCAACCAGTCACAATGCTGTGAAAATTTGGAATCCAAGTACTGGTGCTTGCATTAGGACTATTGAGTCTGGATATGGGCTGTGCAGTTCCTTTGTCCCAGGTGATCGCTATGCACTTGTTGGCACAAAGGATGGAACCTTAGAGATCATTGATGTTGGAAGTGGGAGTTGCACTGAGGTGATACAAGCTCATGACAAGGATGGGTCTATCCGATCAATTATCCCAATCCCAGATGAGAACGGCTCTTTTGGTTGTAAGGGTTTTGTTACTGGAGGCAAAGATTATGATGTGAAGTTCTGGGAGTATCAGCAGAAAAAGAAACCTGATAGCGTGAGTTTTCTTTATTTATTCATTTTTACCTTGTCATTTTGCAAGAAAGGGAACAATACTCTCTCCTTCTCGTTGGTGATATTGTTTGAAATTAATCATCATCCTATGCATCACAGTGCTGCCTATATTCGGGTTTTTGAGTTTAGCACACATCTCCACCTATGATACTATTACCTAAAGGAAATCATTCTGAGCAGAACATGGATCATGTTCATGGATTGTTATCTTCCGTAAAGTTTGAAAGTGGTATGTGAGTTGGAATTGTTGTAACGACCCTCTATAAGCTCTTTTGGACCTTTATCCACTTTGGGGCAATTTTCTCGCCTGAATACTCAGAAAGGTGGGAGAGAGTTACCATTTTTCTCTGATTTATTTCGCACTCACTAAATTGCGTCATAAGTGAAGGAAATACATCATAATATACATGAATCTAGAAACATATTTGTATTGGTTCTTTCTCCTTTACATGTTACTTATATTGTTCTTTAGACAATTTACTAGTTAGAGCTTGTTATATATAGGGGTATTTGATATACCTCCCCAAAATTAAGCTTTACCTTCATATAATCCTTCCTCAACTCTTTATTTCAACAGATCCGTTAATGTCAGCTTGCCAATTTAAAAAGAACATAGAATATTGTGTAGTTTCTACATGTTCCAATTGTCCTTGTTTTCCTCTTCTTCGCATCTTCTCTACGTACTCTGATTTAAGCTTTGATAAGAATAAATATATGAAAGAGTCTAAGTGGAAATTTTAGTAAGGATGAGGCGAAAAATGGAAACATGAAGCTTAGTTTGAAAGTTAAATTGCTTGAATTATCATGCATGAGAAAAGATATGAGAGAAAATTAGGAGATCAATTGGCCTTTTTCTTGTGAGATACAAAGTAGCTGAAGCATGTAGCTTTCTCAAATGATAGATATAGACTTATTTTTTCCCGAAAAGCTCCTTGCTAAATGACTGCAAAAGCATCAAGCAACAGTACAACAATAAGAAAGCCTTTTATCCTGAATTTCTGGGATTGGCTCGGGAATCCTTTTCTTCAACTGAGTTCTGTCGTATCCCCAGTTAAATTAATAGATATCTAGTTTCCAAACATCTTATTTATAAAAAAACTCTTATTTGTTTTAAAATCCATAATAGTGTAGATTCTAAGCAATTCCAGAAACACGTCGAAGTTAGTAGTCAATGACCATGCTGTAATATGACCCTGAATGAGGAATTTTAGAGTCACTTGGTAATGAATTTCATTTCCTGTATCTGGGGAGAGGTGGTTCCTCATGAGGATTCCGTTGAATCATTTTTTGGGTTAACAAGATATTTCTGCATCAGACTATCTTAAAAAAAGAATTGGGTCTTTGGAGCACAGACGAGAAACCTTATCTCTTTGCTTTTATAGATGAAACTAATAACTAGGCCACGGGTTCTTCTATAATAAAAAATGGTTACTAACTAGTTTTTTTTGTAAATACAACATTTAATGTAACAATTAAGCTTATATATGGACCAAAAATTTGTTTGCATACTAAAGATTCTGATGTTTCTTATCCTGCAACATCAATCGACTTAACTTGCTTCCTTTTACAGGAGACAAAGCAGCTGCTTGTGACAAATGTTAGAACTTTGAAAATGAATTCAGAGGTGCTTGCGGTTACTGTCAGTCCAGATGCCAAGTATATTGCAGTTTCTGAGATTGCATACTCTACTGGTGTCAAGGTTATGTCAAATCACTTTTCTCTCTACTTTATTTTTTTAGTTTTATTGTATTATTGGTATTTCAGGGGGTAGTTCCATTCCGTATACCTGATCAGTTTTTATTCATTCATATAAAAAATATAAAATTACTGTATACATTTTGTTCATGAACCTAAATACATTACCAAATATGGCCTAATTTTCTTATGCCTCACATTCACTTCCTGACATACAATATTGGAATTGACTAAGCACCCTCTTATTAAAAGAACAAATCTAATCATGCTATGGACTGTTTTAGTTTTCCTTAGTTCATTCAACTACCCTCAATGTTTGGTTATTTTTAAAATTATTTAATTATAATAACTGATAAAAATATATATTAAATTCATATAAATTTGCAAAAAAGAAATAGATGGCAATCCTAGATCCACAATAAACCATGCATACTTAAATGCTAAATAGCAAAAATAATAGCTAACAATGTTATAGAAAGTGCTAGGAGGCCTAGGCGTTAACCCGTCACCAAGAGCCTAGGAGATTTTCTTCTTTTATTTTTTAAGTACAGTAATTCATAGTAAATATTAATGTTATAGAAAACTTAGGTGTGTGTATTTTTTTCTTTATTTAAGTGGTGGCCGAGAAAGTTTTGTTGAAGGTTGGAGGTGTTCATATTTAGAGGTTAAAGGAGTTTGAAGGAGGTTGGAGGACGTGGAGACTGCAACGTAGAAAATCACGATCAAGGTCTAAAGGGTGCAGTCCACGTAAGCAGACAATACCTTCCTAAACACTCCCAAAACCTATGTGGGCAGTCTAGGTACCGCCTAGGCGCTAGGCACTAGTTAGTCCGCATACGCCTAGGCGGACTAGGCGGAGGCTTTTTAAAACAGTGACTACCCTCAATCAACTCACACTAACAACTGAAGTAGTCAAGCTTTTTCACCCTTAACAAGGCTGAGCAATGTCTTCTACTCTTAAATGTTTTCATCAACTCACGTTTCACCTTTAGAATATATATTAATCAGTTGTTAGTTTTATTGGCGAGTGCCACTTTACTGTAGTTGTAAAGCCCTCTTGTTTTAGTTATATGATATATGGAATGCAATCTCTGTTCATGATAGGCTATGATCTTTATCCCAAAAAAATAAATAAATAAAAATAAAAAAAATAAAATAGAATAAAATAATCTTTTGAAAAAGATTTGATTGTGATAGCCTATACTGAGACGTGTGTGATTTGTCTATAGGTGTTCTTCATGGACTCTTTAAAATATTACCTTTCGCTCTATGGACACAAGATGCCAGTGCTCTGTATGGATATTTCATCTGATGGAGACCTTATAGTTACTGGTTCTGCAGACAAGAATATTAAATTTTGGGGTTTAGATTTTGGCGACTGCCATAAATCCCGTTTTGCTCATGCTGACAGGTAGCTTTACATAATTTGAATTTTGTAAGGATTCCTCGTCTGTAAATTGTAGATTAAACAATGTTCGAATTCTTCATTTGTTTTGATTGCAGTGTTATGGATGTAAAGTTTGTCCACAATACTCACTATGTGTTTAGTGTGGGGAAAGATCGCCTTGTAAAGTACTGGGATGCTGACAAATTTGAAGTACTTTTAACTCTTGAAGGGCATCATGCTGAAGTTTGGTGCCTTGCAATTAGTAATCGAGGTGATTTCATTGTCACAGGATCCCATGATCGTTCAATCCGTCGCTGGGATCGTACTGAAGAACCCTTTTTTATTGAGGTAAGCAGTATGCTAATGTGTTGTCTGACTATACTTTGTGGCATAACAGTCAAGGAGGGATAGCTAATAATTATCATCTCACTCTTAGAAACCCTTATTGATACGCAGGAAGAAAAGGAGAAAGTGGAAGAGCAGATGTTTGAGTCTGATATAGACAATTCCAACGAAAACAGATACATGCCAAAAGAAGAACTTCCTGAAGAGGGATCTGTTGGTCTCCCTGGCAAGAGGACTCAAGAAACTCTCACTGCGACTGACTTGATTATTGATGCATTAGACATAGCCGAAGCTGAATTGAAACGAGTTGATCAGCACAAGGTATGTACAGTATGTTAGTGTATCTTCTTTTCCCTTTATATTCATAGGTGTAATTTGTGTTTGATTGACATGGTCTTGTGCCGTTGGTCTGAGAATACTCATGTGGTTATCAGTCGGGAGAACCAAGATATCTCATAAGTGAAGTCACGACATAAAAATATTGTAACTCAAGAAATGTTTCAGTAATAAAATGTTGCAGTTTAAATTTTATTTAATTAACTTTAATTTGGTTACTGAAAGCGTTAATTCACTTACATTTAGAATATAATGTTTCTTGCATTAGAATTTTTCCAGTTGGTATCGGTTGGGATGAGTGGCATGCTTAGTTCTTTTACATTGTCTTATATGAAAAAAGTGACATTCTATGTCCCTATATGCCATATCCTTAGCTACATCTTTTATTAAAAGTGTTTCGTTCTAGTAGTTTCATACTATTAGAAAGATATTAGGCCATGAAAACTGCAAACATGCAGCAGAAGCAGGTGTGTGAAGAACTTAATTGAAAGAGTAACTCTCATTTGAAACTGCAAAGTTATAACTGATCACTTTGTTTTTCTCAGAAAGTTACCATTGAGATGATTCTTTATAGGCCCATCTTCCATGATATGAATCATCTGGTGACTATGGACTGTCATTTCCTAACTTGATTAGCAAATATGCCCATCCATTTGACTTTTTGTACTCTAGTATTCTCTTTTTCTCCCCTTTTTTTGTTGGACCTAAGATATTCAGTGACTGCAAGCATAATCCTTCATTTTAACTTGTGTAATGGTCAATATCATCAAATACAGTGGATTTATTTGCCTTAATTATTTTTGATTCTTCCTACTTTCTCAAATCAAGTGTCTCCTAGTGCACAATCTACACATCCTCACTACTTCAATGCCTCCTTACTATAACATGTACTCCTCTCACAGTTTCTTTGTCCTCAGACTGCATGATTGATGTTGTCTGCATCAAGGAAAATGTATGTAGGACTTGTCGATTGTTGCTTCCCAATCCCTATTGATACATAGGCAAGTCAAATACGTAAATATGGAAGTTTCAAGATATGAACCTGACCAATATTTTTCGACTTTCACTAGTCATCCTCTTCAAACATCCTCTGATCCTTATATGTCACCTCATTTGTTGTTGTGGTTCTTTTATCTCTTTGACCCATGATTGTTAGGATGTGAAAATGAATCTGATGGTAGCACAAATTAATATTTTACAAATATGTATAACCATATAGAGGCTTAACTTTGGTGCATTTATTTTGTAACCATGAATACAGAGACTGGAGGGACATCCATTGGATATGCCAACTGAGTGGTGTGATTTGCTGCGCGATAATATGTGCAATACAATCAGCTAAAAGTCCATTCAATGTTCTCATAACTGATCATATTTTTTCTGGCAACATTAATTTCGTGACAGAGTACTGAGACTGGAGGTTCATACATTGGGTTTGCTTGAGAGGTCTAATTTGGTGGAGAGAAATACAAACAACAGTCATGTAAAGTTGTTCACTGTTCTAATTATGGCCTTGTATTCTTGCATCATGTTATACTTAGTGAAAACATCCTTTCTTGTTACAGTTTCAGTTTCATCCAGATGTTGAATAAAATCTTAAGAGTCTAAGAAATTCCTTTCCACTAATAAGATCACCAGTACAGTCTCATTATTAGTACTGCTTTCGCATTACAAACTGCTGTGGCGGACATGTTTGTGTTGGATTTTCCCAAGACTACACAAGATTTCGCAGTTGTCTACTAAAAGTCTGTGACCTTTTACTCCAAGCATTAACAAGTATTTTATTTCTTTTCTAATATTCAGGAGGATATAAGAAGTGGAAAAGGTGGTGCACTTCAACCGAATGATCTGTTGCGTGGGCTTAGTCCATCTGACTATGTTCTTCATGCAATTTCCAATGTTCAGACAAATGATCTGGAGCAGACCCTACTGGTATGTAACTAAGTAGATTTTTTTACTGAATGTCATGGTTTGATTTTATCAAGTAATAAGGATAATGTTATCTCACTACTATAGAGGAAATACATCAGCATGATTGTCTGTTATTTTATGATGAATATTTTATTCTAGTATTTTACACTCCACATCTAATTTGCGAGCCTGTCTCTTGCTAGACTTGTGAGCAAAATTACCAGGAAATTTTCTGTAGATCCCTTTTACGTATATATGTGAAAACTGAAAAAGTTTGCTTTTTTAGCTATCATTTAATTTTGTACTTCCCTTTATTTTCTGTGTATGTGTGTCTGTTTGTACCCGTGTAGCTGCACCTGTTATATTTATAAGTTAACATTATCTCATACACGCTTGTTTGAATGTATGTTTTCCCCCTCTTTTTGTGTATAGACCTGTGTGTCGGTGTGTGTTAGTGAATTGGTGTTAGTGAATTGGGTGATAAGTGATAGATGTCAAGGTATCTTTTTGCACACATATACAGTACGATGTACTCAGACGTGCACCTCTTACATTTTTTCCCTTAAATCAGAAATTCAAATAAAATGTATATTTCACAATGATTAAGCTATTCTGTATTGTACTTTTGTAATTACTAGAGCTGCTGCTTTTATTTGTCAAAAGTGCACGTCACATACATCTTGCATATGACACCCTTGTGAAATACAGTATGCTAAGGTTTCTGGTTAAACAAACTTCTCTGATTTCATGCTTTAGTCCTTAGAAGATGATTGAACACTTACATGTACATTCTTAATAGTGACGTTCAATGTTTACCATTCTTTGTGTTTGCAGTCTTTACCATTCTCAGATGCTTTGAAGCTTATATCATACTTGAAGGATTGGGCCAGCAATCCTTCCAAGGTAAAGTGATAGTTTATTCTTTTATAACATTCAAATCCCTTTGGTTTTATTTATACCTTAAATTTTCTATAATTTCTTGCTAAAATGTAGTTGCTATCATTATTCACTTTTCTCCTTAACTTCCATCAGTTACTTTTTATTGAACATCCTATTATGGAGGCTGTTTTGAATAAACTCCGGTCCTCCACCTATAGCTTGGCGGTGAGACTGCAAGTCTTCACTTAAACCTACTTCAGACTTCGAATTGTTCACCAAATAACTAGTTAGTAAAAGATACACTCTCAAAGTTCTAGCTTAGGATTACATGAAACCAGGGAACTGCTATTCAGATGGATCCATGCGTTTGATTGCCTACAGGGAAAAATGATTGCAGAGTATTTGAACTGTTAAGATGGTATAGTTCTTATTTTATGTAGATACTGTTGCTCAATCATAGGTATGATTGGTTTGCTGCATCCTGGATGTGGCTTGCATTTTTCTTCATTTTTTGGGGGCAACTGTTAGTAAAGGGAAACTTGTTACATCATTTATTTGCCACACAACTCAATCTGGATGTCCATCAGGAATGTTGCCTGCTCCCATAACATAAAGGAGCAGTAATACAGAGGATTATGTTGGTCGTAACTAGGCAATTGTTTGTCATTTATGTGGGGCTGTAAAACAGGTCGAGTTTGAACAGGTCGAGTTTGAATTGGATCTATTCAAGTTGTATATCCTAATAATCTGACAAGAAACTTATATCCACACTTGAAATAAATCCCTCGACAAAGAGAACACTTACAGATAATACCAATCAAAGACTTACTATAAATCTATATTCTAGAATACACTCCAAACTATTGATACTATCCATTTGAAATGATCCAAGTCTTCCTGTGGATTTTCTTAAACATGCATCATTTGAATTGACTAATATCACTACAGATGATTGCATTTGCCTTCACAACAAGGCAATAGATGTTAAGACCTTTAATTGTTCTCTGCCACACAACCCTTACAGTAAAGAGTATCTGCATCAAGCAAACCTGTGGTTTTCTTTCCTTCTGAAGCAGTCAAGTATTTAACAGAAACTGACCTGTATGGACTTTACGCGAGGTATAAGATTGTGTTGGTTGCTAGCACTGATTTCTTAGGTGATTTGTCATTTTCATCAATTTTTGATATTCTTGTCCAAACCTGTCATCTTATAGAAATTTCCATTTGATGCTTGGCCATTATCTCTTGACTGGTCTGTCTTGAAAATACCATAAGCGTCTCCACGAAGAAAAACCTGTAACTATGAAATCCTGGAATAGTGTCATCCCTGAAGAAAGCATGTATACCCTGACAAGTCAGCAAATAGTTTTGTTATCCTAGAATATCATCATAATTGTGTTTTCAGTTCAATTTTCTTTTTTAAACTCTAGCATCTATAAGTTAGTGAACCATTTACTTATGATATGGTTACTGGACGCAGGTTGAGCTTGTTTGTCGAGTTACTACGGTCCTTCTACAAACGCATTACAACCAGTTAACCACTACACCGGCTGCCAGACCCATGTTAACCATACTCAAAGATATTCTGCATGAAAGAGTAAAGGTAATTCTGAAAATTGTCAGCAGTATTATATGAGAAAACTTCATTACTAGTATTCTTGAAAACTCAAGCAACAATATCGATGAATAATCCATGGTATATTAAGCAATCATGATTAATTCAGAAGAAAAAGCCAACACTACTCGATGAATTCTTTGGAATCCCATATATCGCCAAGCTGATAGCTTTAATTATCTTGCACTTAGGGTGGTTGTGGTTGTTGGTGAATGTTTATCATCTTGCAACTTCTAATCTCATAATTTCCTTTTGTTTATTTGCTTCATCCACCTTGCTTGGAAGATATCTTGTGAGTGCACCATTCTTTATTACATGTCTTTTGTCTTATTACTTTCTCTCCTTAATCCTTTGTGTATTGATATCTGACTGTTTTGACTGTCTTTTAGCTTCTTATGCAATGGATCTATATCATTTTTTTTCCGGCTACTGACTGCAATCTATCGACTTAATTCTTGTAATATTAATTTCCTAAGACCAAAAGAATTCTGTCATTCCCGTCTCTTGCATTTTGTCCTCTATTATGTTTCTATGCAATGGAATGAACTGAAAAAAAGTTGAAGCAGGAGAAAGATGCACTAGGTAGATCATTTGCAGTATTGTAGAATCTTAAAATGGGTTAAGGAAAATTCTCATCTGCTGCCCCATACAATACACCCAATGTAATATAGGGGATTAACCATTTATTATCCTTAAAAACTTTATCTATTAGTATTTTGACCCTCTAATCCCCAACAAGAGTTATCTCCTCATTATATCCTCCTAGGTATCATGTATTATCAATGTATTAAAGAGAGATTTCCTACTCTTTATTGGCATTGAACAAACATCTCTTATAGTATAATGTATGAGTACGGATAACGGTGACAACTTTGTTTGAACATTGGTGAATCTACTTGCTAGTAGAAAAGTTTAAGGGTGATAAGTGGCTAGTCCTCTTTGACTATGGGGGTGTAGAATTAATCCTAACACAGAAATATTGAGAGAGATGTGGGTACCCTTGGTATTAAGGATACCAATCCTCCTTAGTAGTGATGTGGAAGCATCTTACTCATCCATCTGGACTGATGAGATAGAGTAGTTAAGGTTAGTTTTTGCAAAATACCCTTTCCTTTGAAAAGCAATGTTGAAATGAGTGGTATTTGTACCCAATGGTCATATCTTGAATGTAGATGGTGAAACCCCATTTCAGATGAGTATTCCTCTATTGAAATTAGTCCATTTAAAAAGGAGATTCCCATGGTCTAAGATACATGCCTATATTACAATGCATATGCCCAAAAAAATAATAATAAATAATTACAAAAAGTAGATTTTGGAATTCGCAAAGACTTTGCAAAGTCAAAGAAGTTTTCGGGGAAAAAGAAAATGCTCAAGGAAAATTAAAGTAGGAGAGATTGTTAACCGTCGTATTCTTCTTTGCATACACGTTGTAATAGGCGTGTGCATCATTGTCTGTGAGAAACTTGTTCCATTCAAATGGAATAAATTCACCAAGAGGATTGCACTCATTTGCCAAATGGGGTTTCACCATTTTCATTTAAGATATGTGCGTTGGGTAAATATCACTCATTTTAACATTACCCATAATCACTATTATAAATAGTGGTAAATAACACCGTAATAGTGGCACTAATAGCATTAGCTGCCCCTTTTCGCTTGCAGAAGCGGCCAATAGCGCGTCATAACGGTAAATAGCGGGTGATTGCGGGCAAAATTCGCTTTTTTATCGCTATTTAAAAGCGGTTTGAGGTTTATTTTTTTTAAATTAAACTTGACCCATAACCAATGCATCCCACCACCTCCCACTATTTCCGACATATTCCTGCCGTCTCGTATAGCCTCTGGCACCTCTCTCAGCACGTCCTTTTACCTCCTCTCGTCGTGAGCTCCTACTGTAGTTCTCTCACCTCACCGCTCAGTTCACCTGCTCGAAGACGATGACTCTTTGATTCCTTCAGTCGTCTTTGGTTTTATGTGACATTACATGTCTATTTCATGTTTATGGTCTCTTTAAATCATCAAATATGTACTTTTAAATTTTCTAGATTTTCTTTAATTTTTTTAATTTTTTTAATATTTATAATATGTTTATGGTCTCTTTAAATCATCAAATATGTACTTTTAAATTTTCTAGATTTTTTTAAATTATTTTAATCTTTTTAATATTTATAATATCTAAATTAGATCACTATTTGACTTTGCGTTTTTTACCGTCATTTTGCTACAATGGCCCCAAATAGCTTTAGCAATGCCTTACTGCTACGCGACACTATCCGCTATTGATAACTATGCCCATAATTTCACAATTCTGAAATAGTTAAAAAAGACCAATAAGAATATCTATGTTAAGTATCAATTTGGATTTGTTTGTAAATTGTGTTTGAAAATTGAATTTATATCACTTACAGAAGTAAATGCATGCATCCATAACATTCATAAATTCTTTTGTAAAATGTACTATTTTCAAAGTGAATGCATAAATCCCTTAGAAAATTACTCACTTGCACCCTACATTACTTGGGTACTTCTATCATGAAGCCGTACTTGTACCCAATGTTTATTGGACTGAGGCTCCTTGGACAGTCCGTGAATATTTGCAACATTTGTTCACACATGTACACTATTATAATATACATGTTTTATTGCAAACACTTGGTCGTACTCTTCTTGGACGCATATCTTATGCTTCATATCCACTTCCCAAAACTCGTGCACACGAGTTGGGTTTGCTTCAGCCCGTACCTAGTTTGAAACTATGAGGTCCGTGTTAGGGCTCATGGATCTGGATGGTAAGGCTCACAGATCTTTGTGTTAGGGCTTGTGGATCAGAGAGGCGAGGTGTGGGCGGCTTCGGCCAAGGCAGAGCGTAGGTTGGCTTGAAGTTGAAGAAGAGAGAGAGGGGTGGGCAGCCTGGCTGGCTATTTGAGAGAGAAGGGACAGGTTGGTTGGTTGAGGAAAGAAGAGGGGAGAGAGAACCCTTGGAAAGAGTGGTAAGTAACGAGATAGGATATCACTTTCAAAAAAAAAAAAGGGTTTTTTTTTCTTTCTTCCCCCCCCCCCCCCACCCCCAAAAAAAAATAAAAAATAAAAAATAAAATAAATAAATAAATAAATAAATTAAAAATAAAAAAAAGCCACAACTACTCCATCCAGCATGGAGGATTGCACCAAGGATATCCATTTATTTCTACAACAACAATAACATAACCATTATCCATTGTTTCGGGTCGACTACATATCCATTATCCCGAAATTTTCTGATCATTTCTTGCGTTGGTGCCTTTGTCACTTGGCAGCCACAGCCTTCTCAGTTCTCACCATTTCCTGAAGCTTTATGAGCATATGAAACTGCCAACTATTGATTGAGAAATCTTACATGGTGGACTACATATGGGTAGAATAATAGGTTGGCGTTCATCCAGCAACGAACTTCAAGCAAGTTTACTGAAACCTTTGATCATCTGCCTTAACATTTGTGCAGGATGGCCCCGCGTATTCTCCATTCCTTAGATGAGAACCTACATGAGTTTTTCCCTGTTGAGCTTCTTTTAGCAATGCATGTATAAATGATAGTTGAAAATTTTGCAACTTCATCAGATTTTACACAAGAATTTTATGGTGTTCTTTCAAATGCCATTTCAGGAGTACAAGGACACTATTGGTTTCAATCTTGCTGCAATGGATCATCTCAAGGTGATAATTTCATAAGCTGAATTTGTGTTATTCCTCAGTAAATTCAATGTATAATCTCAAGAATGTTGTATGATGTTTCCAATATTTTTATTATCCTTGCAGGAACTTATGTCCATGAAATCTGATGCTCCTTTCCGGGACGCCAAAGCCAAGCTCATGGAAATTCGCTCGCAGCAGGCAAAGCGTCTCAATGGTAAAGAGGTAGAGAAGAGCAGAAAGAATAAGAAACGTAAGGCTTTGACTGAGACTGGTCCTGGCGCCTAAACCCTTATTAAGAATTCTGTCAAAGGATCTGTTGCTGGAATTGCAGCGTAAGTGTAATGTACATTAGCGTGCCCATTTAATCTGATTGATGGGTACATAAATTTTGACATGTTGAGATGTTAATGTAGCAAAAGTGAGTTCCATTTAGAGGAGCAAAAAGAGGAGCCATTATTTCCTTTCTGTTCTCGACATCTTCAATGCACTTAAGTAAATCACGCGAAGGAATTCGACAAGATCAGTTCAGTTACTGTTTGGACAAATTTTACAAGGCCCGCTTTCAAAATGCATCGCTATATGTAGCATACAGGTTGAAGCTGTACTTCTTGATTATAACCTCAGTTTTGTAATTCTTTGATCAGAACAGTTTCTTCATGGAGAGCAGTTCAGTTCCCTGTAAAGTCAACTATTGTTAGTATCTTTATGATTTGAGCTAAAACTTCTTGCTACTAGTCACTAGAGATCAACATAAACACTTGCAAAAATCCATCTTTCTCAGAAACTAGAATTGCGAATTTACTCCCACAAGTTTCCCAGTATTCGATCGATGCCAAACATAAAGGAAAGGGCCTTCTCCATATCAGTCCCTTGAGACTTTAACATTTTAGAAGCAACTCCTCACACCATTGAAAATGCTATCAGGTCCTCCAGTTTTCTAAACTGGCCCTCCTATCATTGAAAATTGCTATTATATTCCCAAATTATTATAGTTATTTCAAATTATCGCCTCCAATAAAGATTTGCAGCGGTAAGATGGTAACTTGGCAGAGAGAAACAAAAACAAACACTTAATAATCACTGTGCAAAACAACACAACAGATTCTGGAAACTGGCTAAGCTTTCCTGTATGTCTTCAGTTTCCCACAAACTTCAAACAGCCAACGAATCATGCAGCTCATCCTACCCGCCATGAAAAAAAGAAAGAAAGAAAGAAATAATTCCACAAATCCAGCAGATAATTTCAAATAATTGTCAAATATAGTTTTTTTAAGCATCCATCATCTAGCTAACATCAGTTCATTTAAGCAGCTAATACAAATTAGTTACATATGGCTCATTACCCGAATTCCAAAACTCTTCTGAACAGTATCAGCATTAAGAATTCCTATTACATGGCTTCCTCCAAGTTACCGCGCTCTGCAGCTCTGAAGACATCGCCTAAATTGACATTTAAACTGTTTCTCATCGTTCTTCTTCCTACTGCTCCATTGCCTGCAGTTCCCTTTCTCATCATAGCTGCGAACTCACTGTAGTCTATTTGCCCATCCTGTAATTTAAAGAATTTATTAGAAACTAGGAACAATAAGATTATAATTAATGGAAAAAGGAGTAGAGGTATGCATAGCCTAAGAGAACTTGGCTAGAAGCTATTAAGATGGATATGATAATATTCAACTTAGTGGAAATAGCCTTCAACTAAATTCAATGGAAGAGTGAATGGAAAAGTAGGATTCATACAACCAACCCTAGAAATTTGGGATTAAAGCTATGTTGTTGTTGTTCATTAATTTGGAATATGAGAAACGAATTGCTTAAAATTTTGGTTAATTGCACTTAAATAGCCAATTTACACCTTTTTAAATTTTGATACCCCAAAGTTTTTCTTCACCCAAAAAATACCCAATGCTCAAAAACATTTAACTTTGATACCCTAAAATGACTTAACATGAGGTATCAAAGTTTTTTCTTTTGCAACTTCAGGGTAATTTTTGGTGTCAAAGTTAAATGGGGTAAACTTTGGGGTAGTTGACTGCAATTAACCTAAAAAATTTAGGTATATTATAAGATTGAACAGAGAACCTACATTGTTCTGGTCGATTTCTTTGATCATTTCATCAAGATGAACATCACCAAGGCCAAAGTCTTTGCATGCTTGAGAGAGTTCATCAATTGTAATGTAACCACTACCGTCTTTGTCAAAGAAGGAGAAAGCATTTATCAAGTTCTCCTCTCTCTCCAATTTATTCATGTGCACTGTGGCAGCAAGAAATTCACCATAATCTATGGTGCCATTGTTGTCTATATCAGCCTGTCACATTCAGAGTATTGAACCTTTATAATTATGGATATAAAAGTAAATACATTTAAATAAAACTTGTTTCCAAATAGGTTTGTCTGGTTTATTACATACCGCATCCATAAGAGCTTGGATCTCAGACTCCATGAGGTCTGAGCCCACTTTTTTCAAGCCCTCTTTTAGTTCATCATATGTTATTGTTCCGCTGTTGTCTGTGTCAATCATTTTGAACAGTCTCTTTAGGCCCCCTATCTCTTCTTCTGATAACCTTTCTGCTATAACCTACAATAAACAAGCAGTTGGTATACATCCAATACACCAAGTGCAGTGTGTAAGCTCTATGCAAAAAGGTCCTCAAAACACTAAATGATCAATGACTTAATAAATACTAATTCACTATCCAATTGAAGTTAAAACAAGCTTAAAATCTTATACACCCAGATCCATTCGGTATGCATGCTTGAGAGGTCTCTAAGCCTGCAATGATCTCATATCTCAGTGGAGTTGATCAAAAGTTCCAATAATTTATCTTGAATATATTAGCAATTTGATATGATTGCATTTTCTAAGTGGAGTGATGCTTCATACATTATGTATCAAAGACAAATTTAATATTTTGATTATTACTGTTTCACTTTTGATGCTTTGAACTTCATGGTGTATCTTTGTATACTATTCTTTCATGTTTTCATGGATCTTGCTCTTCTGGTTCAGCACAATACCATTTTACAAAATCAAATTCTCTGTTCGTCAATATAGCTAGTCTTATAGATTTCTTTAGGTTGAGATTGTTTGCTGATGACTAAAACTCTTGTTATTATTTCATCAAAACAAATTGAATTTCCCTTGAGCAGTTATTAGTCTAAATGTTTTCACATACCTATCAATCTGAAATGATGCACATCGACTGGGAGAAGCATATGCTAGTATAAATACATTGGCCTTTATAAGATCTAATTTAAACTTTTCATAATTACTTATCCAATCATTCAACTACGGATAATACTGACAGTAACATTGCACCTTCAAGTGGAATGACAAGATTTCTGAAAGTTACAGGGCATTTAGTTAACCCTTTCTAGATCCACAATATGGAAGTACAGAACTCTTGATAAATAAGATGCGTGATTAGTGGCATGACCAAATGTGCATCCACATATCAAAATACATAAATATTCTGCATTTTGAAATTTGACCCCTAGGGCCTTTAATTTGAAAAGAACCAATGGGAATAAACTTTTCATAGAAAAATGTATTAAATCTGCAAAAACAAGGCTCTTGTGGAACTGAGAATAATAACATGATCTAGTAATAAGCGTACTCTTGCATTTGTTAATCATTAAGAAATCAAGTAGCGAGATAACTCTTTTATTATTAACATAATCTAGGATTTATAACAAAAAATAGCATTAGATGATCCTATGTCTGTTAATCTGAGTCAAATTTGGGTGGGTGAATTTGGCCAGAGTTCAATTTGAGACGGTTGGTTGAGCCAGTTGAAAGTTCATGAACATTGTGCCTAATCATCCTCTTAACACATGGAAGATTTCAGGTCAACCAAAGCTGATATTTGAATAGTAGAACTGAAGCCTTCAAGGGTCCGAATATTATATGGTTCAAAATTCAGATTATGTCAAAAATGAAATAAATCTTGCCTTTTGATGTAATGTTAAAATTACATCCAAGCCTTGTACTTGAAGGGAAAGTCA